TTGCCCATTATGACCATTGGGATAATTTCATTTTTGGTCCCTATATTATTCATCAAAATTGATTTTAGTCCCTATATTTTTCTTGCCACGATTTTAGTCCTCAAACAGACCATTTTTATAACAACTTTAGTCTACCTTTTGATTTTGGGAGAAAATTACATTTTTCGTCCTCATACTTTACTCACTTTTCCAAAACTGTCCCTAAACATTTTGGAGTTACAATAGTAGTCCTTAATCATGCCATTTTTTGACAGATTTGGTTCGCTGTTAATTTTTGCCGTTAAGTTGGATGGAAAATGGCATGTGCCTCTCACATGCCTTCAATTTACAACACTACATGAAAATGGACTTTCAACAACACGCATTGCCTCTTGTTAAAATATATTCTTTTTTTAATTATTATTTTTAATTAATTAATATAAAAACGAAATCACGTAAATTCCAAAATAATCAACTCATTCCGGAAATATTGTTTAAAAAATCAAAATATAGTTTAAAATTTTAAAATATTGTTCCAAAATCGGCATTTTGGGAATTCAATTAAAATATATCGTTTCGAACCAAAATAAAGAAAACCCGATAGGAATTGGGGAATTAGAAATCTCCATTCCAATTTTCACCTCTAGTCAATTCCAAAAATCCCAATTGTGAGACAATATGTCGAGTTTTAAATCATTCAATATGAGTGAAAATTGGAAAGGAGTTTTCTTATGCCGCCTAGTTTGATCGAATTTTTATTTTATTTTAAAATAATATTTTCATTCAATTTCCAAAAATTCCGATTTTAGCTTATTTCTTTAGACAATATTATGATTTTTTAAACAATATTTCTGAATTTATTTTGAAAAAAATATCGAGTTTTAGATTATTACATAAGGGTGAAATTTGGAACGGAGTTTTCTTACTCCGCCTATTACGATCAGATTTTTATTTTATTTAAAACAAATTTTCATTTGGATTCAAGAAATTCCGGTTTTAAAACATTATATTATTATTTTATACAATACTTCGAAAAATATTTGGAAATAATATATCGAGTTTTACATTATTAAATTAGGGTGAAGATTGAAATGGGGTTTCTTATCCCACCTATTCGGATCGAATTTTTATTTTATTTTGAAACAATGTTTTCATTTGAATTCCGAAAATCTTGATTTTGAAAGCAATATTTCATTTTTTTAAACAATGTTTCAATTGTTTAAATATTATTTCTCAAAATATTTTAAAACAATATATATCGATTTTGCTTTTTTGGATGTTATATAATTTCGAATTTCAATCAAGTTTTAATTATGAAAAATATGTTTTAACAAGACGCAATGCGTGTTGTTGAAAGTCTATTTTCATGTAGTGTTGTAAATTGAAGGCATGTGAGAGGCACATGTCATTTTCCATCCAACTTAACGGCAAAAATTAACGGCGGACCAATTCTGTCAAAAAATGGCATGATTAAGGACTACTATTGTAACTCCAAAATGTTTAGGGACAGTTTTGAAAAAGTGGGTAAAGTATGAGGACGAAAAATATAATTTTCCCTGATTTTGGTGTTAATTTGGACGGAAAAAACATGTGTTTTGCACGTGAGGACGCTGAAAGAACACGTTTAGCCACTTTTTTTTAACTATATTTTTCAATTAGCCCAAAGTTCACTTTTGTTTTACAAATTTGTCCAAAAAGTGAACTTTATAATTAGGGGTGAAAGTCGGATGGATCGGATCGGAATTAGCCTTTTCGGAAAATTTCCAAAAAAAATCAGAAGTACAAAATCAATTCCAATTCCAATTCCAAAATTTTCGGAATCTAAAAATTCATTCCATTTCCGAAAGGCCCGAAAATTTCGGAATTTCGGAAAAAATCGGAAATCACATAAGCTTTAAAATTTCAAAACGTAGCCGAAATTTTCTAAAATGTTCATAATTTTTCAAAAATAAGAACATTCACGTCGATAAAAGTAAAACTAAGAACTACTAAATTTCAATTCAAAAAAATAAATAAAAATAAACACTGCATAATATCCAATAAAACTTCTAACAACAATTCATTATGTCCAAATCCTAAAACAAAACTTATAGGTGTATTTTTCAGAAAATAAGTATTATATAATATATACTATTTATAAGTGTATTTTTCGGAAAAAAAATCGGAATTTTTCGGAATTAATTTCGGAATTAAATCGGATCGGAAATCGGAAATTCCAAATTTATTTTTATATAATTCCAATTCCAATCCAAAAAAATTGGAAAATTTCGGAAATCGGAATTTCGGAAGTCGTAATGAAAAAAGTTGTTCCAAAATCGGAACTTTTCGGATCAGAACCGGCGGAAATTGGAAAATTCGTTCCAACTTGCACCCTATTTATAATTGAATTGTAATTTTATGTTTTTTTTTCACATGCTCCTTCTTCCCAATATCAATTTTTTTCTTTTTTTTTTTGATCTGTAAATATTCAAATAAAGATAAGCGAAATTGAGATTATTTATTGTTCGTGCACAATCCAAGAATCACAATAAAAATTAAAAAACTATCTTTATTTTGTAAATTTAAAAAATATCTTCACCACTGGTTTTTTATAGGATTAAAGAAATTGAGATTATTTATTGTTCGAGCCCAATACAATTGGGTTTTAATAGGATTAGTTATTTAATCCTATCTTTGTTGATTTTATCTTAGGATTTTTTTACTAAATCCTTATTAGGAGAGTTCACATGGTTTTTAAAAGTCGGATTTTTTGTGCATAAGTCTCCAACCAAACATCTTTATTATTCTAGGTTTAGGAGCCATATCTCTTTCACCAATAAGCTCATCCATTTAATATTTATTATAAATAAAGGAAACATTCATGTATATCCCAATATTACCTTCAACCATTTATACCCAATTCTAAATTGTAACCCCAATTTAATCAATTTTGTCCACAAACATCCAATTTTGACCACAAAAAATCCAATTTGGACTTTATTCTTTGAACTTTGTTTTTTCAAAAAAAAAAATTTGCTGCCGGAGTCCGGCATTTTTTTTTTCTGGTCTGTTGTTTTCCGGCGTTGATTTTTTTAGTGTTTTGTTTAGGTTATTTTTTTTTTTTTTTTTTACGTCCGCCGCTAAATGTTGACCGTAATTGTGCTGTCACTGACAGTAATTTAACATAATTATACTGTCAATGACAGTTAATTAACGTAATGGTACTGCCGTTGACAATACATTTATGTAATTGTTCTACCGTTGACAGTAAATTAACGAAATATTATTATTTTTTTTTATTTTTTGTTATTTTTTTTTATTTTGTTTGATTTGTTGACAAGTCAACGTAATTATATTACTTTCGTTGACAGTAAAATTACTGTAAACACAATAATATTGCTGTCAACAATATCAATATTATTATTTTTTTGGGTTTTTTGTTTTGTTTGAGTTATTCACGGAGTAACGTAATAATATTACTGTCTATTATTGTAATATTACTGTAAACACAATAATATTATTGTGGTTGACGGTAATATTACTGTTGTTATAGTAATATTGTTGTCAACCACATCAATATTATTATTTTGTTTGGATTATTTTGTTTGTTTGAGTTATTCACGGAGTAACGTAATAATATTGATGTCTATTATTGTAATATTACTGTGGTTGACGGTCATATTACTGTTGTTATAGTAACATTACTGTCACTCACAGTAATATTAATTCTTTTGGCATTTTATTATGTTTACATTTGTTGAACGGTCAACATAGTAATATTACTCTATTAGACAATAATAATGAGTTTTGTTGTGTTAATATTACTGTGCTAGAGATTGATATAGCAATATTGTTGTGTTAAACTGTAGTCTAGTTAATTTTACTATGTTTAACAGTAATATAGTTAATATTACTGTTAGGGATGGCAATGGGGCGGGTATGGGCGGGTTTTGCAATCCCCATCCCCGCCCCGCTATGGAAATCCCCATCCCCATTCCCGTCAAAAATCCCCATGGGTATTAAAAGAATCCCCATACCCGCCCCATAAAATCCCCACGGGTATCAGAGCGGGTAAAAATCCCCGTCTATTTTTTTTTTACTTTTTTCTTAATAAATAAATATGCAATTACAAATAAATCAATATTTAATTATAATACTAATATTTAATTATATAATGGAAACCTAAAAATTCCCATTTTTCTCATTTTTAACTAATATTTAGTATATCACTACTATTTAATTATTTATATTTAATATAATAATTTAAAATATATATATATTATATATATAAATAATGCGGGGCGGGTACGGGGACGGGTACGGGGCGGGTCTACGGGGCGGGTATAGGCAAACCCATCCCCGTACCCGTACCCGGTCAAAAAAAAATTTCCGCCCCAAACGGGTCGGTTCCGGTTTTTCGGGGCGGGTCAAATTGCTATCCCTAATTACTCCTCATGTATTTTCCTATTGTACCAGAATTTGAACTTATAAGAAATTATTTTAGGAACCAAACGATGCTTTCTCAAAAAAAAAAGGAACCAAACGATGCTATTAACTAATAGCATTAAAACTCCAGGACCATCGGTCACTGGGATTTGAGCTTTGTTTGATTGTCAAGATATGATTAGTCAACATAAAATTAAATAATTTAATGAAATAGGCCATGGAAGGTCCAATAAAAAAGTTCCCTAAACGACAACTTAAAACATGATTACACAGTATTTTCGGGTCAACCCGACAAATTATTGTGTTTATCAAGTATCAAACAAAGTCCAATTTATTTTACTAATCATGCATACCAACCAAACGAGGCCTTAGTTGTTCAATTTGAAACGAGTTAAGTAATAATTACCATGAAAGCAAAACCAGAGACATTAGCCCAGGAATTGGCGAGGTTAGAGCCGGCGAGCTCAAGGTCGCCTAGGTGGCCAGCAAACATGACCGATACAAGAGGGATCAAGTAATATGTAACATTTGTAAGTATCATAGGCAAAACAAAGTATATCTGATCTTTGACCTCCTCCATGTCAACAACCTTGCTCGACCACACCTGCGCTGTCCTCCACCATCGGAGCTGACCCTCCATCGCTTCGAGGTCGCCGTCTTGTGAAGACATTTTCACCTAACCCTTGCCAACTGAAATCGTGAAAAGTGAGTTTATTACAATCCAAAGATATGGAGTTTGTTATATACACTACAAGAAATAATATGAGTACAGAGCTAAAGTCGGGCTAGTTAATAACTTGCATTAACAACATAGCTATCAACATGCATTAAGTACCTATCAACTTGCACAATCCATATCATCGTACAAATTACTTTTCAAGGTAGGGAAAAGAAAGATTTGGCGAACTCTAAAATATAGCCGGTTTTAAGGTCCACAAATATATCTATTTATGGGCCTAATTCTTAAATAAATAAAGTTAATTATAATTTTTATTTTTCGGAAAAAAAATATTTAAATGAGTAATTAGTATATTTGATCTAAAATTCTCTATTCTTTAAGTCTTTCTATTCGTTCTTTTCTATCTTCGTAATTCAAACACATCCCGAATTTTCGAATTCCCCTCCTTATTATATTAAGCTCAAAAAAATTCAAAACATAATATGGAATCATAAATCGACCAAGACGAATTAAGGGTTCACGGGTCCTACGGTTCACGAATCAGAACCGACAACGGTTCACAATTCGAAAATACAAGATCAGTAATTAGTCGTTCATATTAAGGGTTTGATTATGATTCCAAAATATAATTTCACAAATTCGAGTGTGGGTTCAATCAACGATTACCCGCCAATGTAGGCTGGTCAACCATGTTAACGGTTAGAAACACCGATTTAATCAAAATTTAAATATTGAATTATGTTTCATTGTTGAACACGTGTTCTTTTTTTTAATTAAATTCAATTTTTCATACACCGTAACTTAATATGGAAGGAACCACCTATCATTTACACTTTTATATATGGTATACCTATATATTAGATTTAAATGTATAGATATAGCCTATAGGTGTATATGTACCACCAAATCAATTGTTGAGTACAAATGTGTAGCAAATTACCAAATTTTCGGGAAAATTACATTTTTCGTCCTCATACTTTATCCACTTTTTAAAAACTGTCCCTAAACATTTTGGAGTTACGATAGTAGTCCTTAATCATGCCATTTTTTGACAGAATTGGTTCGCCGTTAATTTTTGCAGTTAAGTTGGATGGAAAATGGCATGTGCCTCTCGCATGCCTTCAATTTACAACACTACATGAAAACTTTCAACAACACGCATTGCGTTGTTAAAACATAATTTTTATAATTATTATTTTTAATTAAAATTTAATATAAAATCGAAGTCACGCAAATTCCAAAAAATCAACTCGTTTCGGAAATATTGTTTAAAAAAGGGTAAAATACACTTTGCACCCCTGTACTATTGAAAAGGTCGCATTCACCCTCCTATAGTATTGAAAACTACAAACAACCCCTTACTTTTAACAGTCAATGGTCAAGAATTTCACACCGTTAAAAATCAACATGCATTTACGTTTGTACCCTCTCCCTTTGCTAGAATAACCCACCAATATTTTTCCCTATCTTCCCTATTGGCAGCAACTCACTCACTTCGTCTTACTCTCCACTCACCACTCTTACCCTTCTTTCTCCTCCAGTCGATCCATCCCCACAACCATCACTAACCGCGAGCAGTGCGACGTCACGGAGTGACGTCGGCAAATGGCGGTTGTCATAAATTTGAGAATGAGTGGTAATTGTAATAAAGGCAACGACTCGTTGTTTCGAGATGACGGCTCGGTGCAACCAAGGGTCGGCTCAATTAGAGCCGAAGTTAGCTTAGATTGCTGCTCAGGAGAAAGGAATGACGGCTAAGAGGGAGGGAGATAGCAGCTCCAAAAGTCGTGTATTTAGCCTTTTTCGAAATTTTCTTGGGCACAATTCTAGAACTTTTTTAGTTAATTCAGGAATGAACTTTTTTTCTTGGGAACAATTCTTGGGTGGGCTCAATTTATGTTTTTTTTTTGGTTTTGGTGAATGATTTTCCTTGATTTGTGTTCAATTTGCTATATTGATGTCCCTTTGTTGATTCATATTTAGGAAGATAATCAATTGATCTGTTTAATGGGTACAATTTCTTTTTTTTTTGTTTAGAACATCTTTTTTAGAGGATATTTAGAACATCATAAACATGAAGAAAATATAAGTAATTTAAAATATTTTTCGAACTTTCACACTGATATGCCTAATTGACCCAACCCAATGGGCCTACAAATTATTTACCTATTGGGCCACGAGCCCAATATTGAAGACCACTATCACCGAGGCCCAATCACCTTCAAGTAAGGTTTGGACCCGACAATCTCAACTAAGCTATAAATAAAGGTTTGAACTCATTCCTTAAGGTACGTCCTATTATCTGAGCAATACTATTAAATGTATTCTCTGGACTATTTCTCCTATCAGCACGTCTGACTTGAGCGTCGGAGGGGTTTCCGCCGGATCAACCCCCGGCCTAGTTCATGTGTTCTATGATCGCAGGTATCTCAAGGTCATCAAGCTCGTGAGCCAGTGATCCACTCTGCTCTTCCAGCTCATCTTATTTCAACTCTCTAAGGTGATCTATATTTAGCATCATCACACACGAATTTTTTTGTAATTTTAAAAACTTATTATTGTTTATATAATTTCGTATTTAATATTTTGCGGAATTTCCATAAATGAAATAGTTTATTAGTTTTAACTGTATTTGCCAATTTTTTGAAACATTTAATTCATAATTATAATTGAAAATGGTTGTTGATAATTTTTTGAGTCTGTGAACTGAATTTTAATTTTTTTTTATTTTATATTTTTTTATAATATTTATGAGATTTTTATAATAATGGTTTTCTTTGTATGGAATAGTAGGCTAAGAGGGGTAAAATTGTCCAGAAATTCGAGAAAATGTGGTCAATTTGCCACATCAGCTTTGACTAGCATAATGGTTAACAGCAGGGGGTTGTTTGTAGTTTTCGATACTATAGGGGGGTGAATGCGACATTTTCCATAGTACAAGGGTGCAAAGTGTATTTTACCCTGAAAAAATTTTATCGTTTCAAACCAAAATAAAAGACCCGATAGGAATTGAGGAATTAGAAATCTCCATTCCAATTTTCACCTCTAGTCAATTCCAAAAATCTCAATTGTGAGACAATGTCGAGTTTTGGGTGAAAATTGGAAAGGAGTTTTCTTATGCTGCCTAATTTGATCGAATTTTTATTTTATTTTAAAATAATATTTTCTTTCAATTTCCAAAAATGCCAATTTTAAAACACAACATTATTTTTTTAGACAATATAATGATTTTTTAAACAATATTTCTGAATTTATTTTGAAAAAAGATATCGAGTTTTAGCTTATTAAATAAGGGTGAAAATTGGAACGGAGTTTTCTTACCCCGCCTTTACTACGGTCAGATTTTTATTTTATTTAAAACAATAATTTTCATTTGGATTCAAGAAATTCCGGTTTTAAAACATTATATTATTATTTTAGACAATACTTCTAAAAATATTTTGAAACAATTTATCGAGTTTTACATTATTAAATTAGAGTGAAGATTGAAATGGAGGTTTCTTATCCCGCCTATTCGGATCGGATTTTTATTTTATTTTGAAACAATGTTTTCATTCGAATTCTGAAAATCTTGATTTTGAAAGCAATATTTCATTTTTTTAAAACAATGTTTCAATTGTTTAAAGAGTATTTCTTAAAGTATTTTAAAACAATATTTATCAATTTTTTTTTTTTGGAATTTATATAATTTGGAATATCAATTAAGTTTTAATTATGAAAAATCTTTTTTAACAAGATGCAATGCGTGTTGTTAAAAGTCAATTTTCATATAGTGTTGTATATTGAAGGCATGTGAGAGGCACATGCCATTTTCCATCCAACTTAACGACAAAAATAAACGGCAGACCAATTCTGTCAAAAAATGGCATGATTAAGGACTACTATTATAACTCCAAAATGTTTAGGGACAGTTTTGAAAAAGTGGGTAAAGTATGAGGACGAAAAATATAATTTTCCCCCAAATTTTCCATTGAAATCGTTTGATGATACTAAAACTTTTTTATTATCTTTTTATGTTTTTATTTTAGCGTCTTGTTTTAAAAATTGGCATTCAGAGATAAATTATTCAAACGAGGTTTTCGAAACAATTTTGAAAAACCAAGAAGGTAATTAGTAGAATTGCATTCCAGTTTTAAGACATGTTTAAAGATAAGGCAATCTAGGGCAACTGACAAATAAGTTCATGACAAGGGATTCCAGTGCACACACGTTTAGACAAAAATCAGTCTCGCAAATAAACAAATCTTATGTTTTTCTACTAAAATACCCCCACATAATATAATTTTCATCAATTCCATCCATTATACTTTAATTTCATCAATATTGTACATTGACCCCGCATTTGAACAAATATATCACATTAACCCCCATTTTCATATTTTTTTCAAAAAGTATTTGTTTTTTAGAAAATAATTTTTTTTTTCCGGCCAGTTTCCTACGTTGACCGCACGGTTCTCCGGTGTTGAATTTATTTATTTTGAAAAGAAAAAAATTCTGAATTTTTTTTTCCGGCCGTTCAACCGTCGGTCTCTAGCGTTGATTTTTTTTTCTGAAACTTTTTCTCTCTCTAAATTATTGTGTTAACAACAAAATTATTGTCTGAGACAGTAATAATGCCAAAACAGTAATATTACCAATATTATTGTCCCAAACAATAATTAGTAATATTACTGTTGCATGAGACACTAATATTAACAGTCGGAGACAGTAATATTACAATCGTAGATAGCAAAATTGCAGGCCAAGACGATAAAATTAATAAAAATATATTTTATAAGAAAAATAAAAAAATAAAAAATGAAAAAAGTCAACGCCAGAGACCGGCGGCTGACCGGCGGTCTCCGGCGATGGCGGTCAAAATTGGCTAGTTGGTCAAATTGACTAAATTGGGGTGTATATCATGAAATAGGAGTTAAATTAGGGTTTCAATGAGTGGGGTAATTTTGAAATATATAAAAGAATTTTCCTTATTTGCAAATAAGTTTGAATGA